GAGCTGGCTTCCCCTACTTGTCTGCAGCTCCCAAAATCTTTCTACCTGTCTCTTCTGAAAAATGCTTTGAACCATATTTATCTCTCCCTCCAAGAAGCTTTAACTCCAATTCCACCTCTCATGCAGGAAAGCAGTATAACTTCAGCATTTGCTCTACCAATTAGAAGTCACGTCTCCCTCTTCGAATGCAGCAATACATGAAACATCACAGGCATGGGCAAAAGGCCAATTACAAAGAACATAAATGTCAGTTATTTTAATTAAGGATCAGAGTTCTAGATGTGGATAGACAAAAACATATTGACTTAATGAACACTAAGGTGTTTACTATTACATATTCAGAAATGAACCTTGGTCAATTATGAGTTCAGTGTACATTACAGACCAAGAAGAAGCAACATGGATACAGCTAACTTACTCCATAGGCCTCATTCATCATAGATTGTGGTGATTCCCACAGAAGAAGTGAAGCCATAATGTGATCCAAAGAAAATGGGGCCTCTGACACAGAAATGTTTGGGGGAAATCTGGCCAGAAGCAGAATCACAATCAGTGGAAGCTAGGTACAAGGCACGAAAAAAAATCCTTCCAACCCAAGCTGAACAGAAATGACTAGTAGCAGTGCTAGTGTTGGATAAAGGTATAGAAGTTCTACTGCTGCCGTGTTCAAGTGCTTTGTATGTTTTGTACCTAAAGTATTCCACTGATTGACCTCCATTTTGTTACCAGTCCCAAACTGTTTTAAAAATTATTGCTTTGTAGTACAGTTTGAGATCTTGCAAACCCCATTCCTTTCCACTTTTAAAAGTTATCATCCTCAAGATTCTTAATTTTTTGTTTCCTCACATGAATTTTATTATTGTTTTCTCAGTATATAAATAATTCTTGTGAGAGTTTAGCATAATACTGAAAAAGTAGATTAATTTAAAAGGATTGTCATTTTTATTATATCGGCTTGACATACTGATAAGCAATATATATTTTTCCAATTATTTAGGACTCTATTTCTGTAAAGAGTATTTTATAGTTAGATTTGCATGATCTCTAGGTGAATCTTCATAGATACACTCTCAAACAGGTGTGACCTTGGTCACAGTGTACATTACAGACAAGGAAGAAACAACATGGATACAAGTGATCTAGTCCACAGAGTTCATTCATCTTGGAACTGTGGTGATTCCCACAGAAAAAGTGAAGCCATACTGTGGCCCAAAGAAAATGGGGCCTCTGACATAAAAATGTTTGGAAAAAATTCTGGCCAGGGGGCAGCTAGGTGGCACAGCAGATAGAGCTCCGGCCTTGGAGTCAGGAGGACCTGAGTTCAAATTTGGCCTCAGACACTTGACACTTACTAGCTGTGTGACCCTGGACAAGTCACTTAACCCTCATTGCCTCACCAAAAATAAAAAATAAAAAATTCTGGCCAGAAGTAGAATCACAATTAGTTATTCTATAGTTATTTTCAATGGAATTTCTGTTTCTAACTCTTCCTTTTAGGTCTCACTGATTACATATAGGAATGTTGATGATTGATCTGGATTTATTTATCTAATATCCTGCAACTTTACTGTTATTAATTGTTTAGATTTATTTTAGTTAAATCTGTAAGATTCTCTACCTACATCATCATACCATCTTCAAAAAGTAATATTGTTTTCTCTTTTCCTGTCTTTATTTCTTCAATTCCTTTTTCTTATTTATCGATATAGCTACCAATTCTAGCATGGTTAAATAGCAATGGTGATAATGGTCATCTTTGTTTTATCCTGAATCTTATTAGAAAGGCCTCCAGCTGTTATCCATTATATATAATGTTTGCTCTTGGATTTGTATAAATCCAATATTTACTACGTTAAAGAAAGGTCTATTTATTTCCATATTTCTAGAGTTTTTAACAAAAACAAACGTGGTTTCTTTGTCAAAAAGCCTTTGTGAACTCCATTGATGTAAGCATATGGCTTTTATTATTTGTATATTAATATAGTTTATTATATTGATAGATTGCTTTATGTTGAATAATACTGTATTCTTTGTAGAAACCCTGTCTAGTCATAATGTATAATCTTTCTAATGTGTTGTTATAGCCCCTTTGCTAATATTTTATTTTTAAAATTTGCATCAATTCCCATGGTTTTCTTTGTTTCACTGCATGTTAATAATACAAAGAGATTTGAGATATTTTTTAATTACAAAATATAACAGTGAATTTTTTTCCTTGAATTTTTGATAGAATTCAGTGGCAAATCACTTGATCCTGGCTTTTTGACCAATTAAATACTAACAAAACTAGTAAATTAGAGTAAATATATGTACCTTTCAAAAATATTAAATATCTATATTAACAAAATAATAGATAATTTAAATAATCCAATATAAAAAAAATAAACAAGCCATAAACAAACTCCCAAAGGAAAAAACAACAGGACAAGATGGATTTATAAGTGAACTCTATCAAACATCCAAAGAAAAAAATCACTCTAATATTATATAAACTCTTGACAAAAATAACAGAAGACAAGACCCTTCCAGGCTCTTTTTATGACACAAATATGGTTTTGATATTTAAACCATGGATAGAAAAATCAAAGTAGGAAAACCACAGACAATATCTCTAATGAACATTGATGCAAAAAATATATTAAATACTAAGAAAAATTTTTCAATAGCATATTACAAAGACTGTACACTATGACCATGTTCATTTCAAACTAAGATACTAGGGTTGGTTCAATATGGGGAAACATAAAAAACATAAAACATAGGGAAAACATACTAGATCAGATTAATAGCAAAAACAATTAAAGCCACACATTTACATCAATAGATGCTGAAAAATCATTTTATAAAATCTAATTTTAAAAAAATACCAGGAGGGAAAGAAATAGATTTTTCTTTGACAAGGATAGTAATATCTATATAAAATCAAGGGCAAACATTCTACATAATGGAGAATGGTTAAAGGGCTTTCCAATAAGAACAGGATTAAAGTAAGGATGCGTATTATCATTATTACAAGGCAGCAAGGTGGCACAGTGGCTAGAGCACTGGCCCTGGAGTCAGGAGGACCTGAGTTCAAATGTGACCTCAGATACTTGACACTTACTAGCTGTGTGACCCTGGGCAAGTCACTTAACCCTGATTGCCTCACCAAAAAAAAAAAAAAGCAAAAAGAAATAGAGGTAATAATCAAAGGCAACAATAAAATAAAGCTACCACTTTTTGTCAATGGTATGACATTCTAGCCAAAGAATTCTAGAGTCAACTAAAAAATGATTGCAACAATCGATAATCTCAGCAGCTTTGCAGAGTATAAAATGAATAACATAATATGAATCATTAACATTTCTTTACGCTATGAGAACAGCCTAGTAAGAAAAAAATAGAAAAATTCAATTCAAAATAACTATAGAATCATAAAAAATATGGAAATTTGCTTGTCAAGACACTCCCAGGAAAATTATGAATGCAACTATAAAATGCTCCTTATGGAAATAAAAATAGAAGAAATAGTAATTGCTCATGACAATAAAATTAAAATGACAATATTATTTAAATTTATTTATTCTATGCCTATCAACTATCAAAGGATTATTTTATATAGCTGGTAAAAAACTCTCTGAACAATGCAATGAAAAATTATGATTCTATGAAGAAAAAGCAAGCTACCCACAGCCTAACAGAGAGATGATAGATATTTACAGTATAAGGCATTATAAGTATATACATTATATATGACAAATTTCAGTATAAGACACATTTTCAGACACAAACAATATGGGAATTTGTTTTTCTTGACTGTGATTATTTATTACCAGGGCTCTGTTTTGCTTTTTTTTTTTCTAATGGAAGGGAGTAGAGCAAGGAGAGATAAAAATATCGTGTCAAAAAAAAAAGGAAAAACAAAGAAAAAATGGTTTGATGATATATCTTTTAAAAACCACATACAAAGAAAAGAACAAAAGGGAAGCCAGAAAAAAAATAAACCAAAATAGCTTGAAAGCTACAGGTTGAAAATTGTTGACTCATACTGAGCTTTCAATCACTTAAAAATTTCAGGTTGTGTCAGGAATACTTTCTAACTGCATCTTCACCATTTTTCACTTGTGAAGTTGAATTTTTTTAACAATCCAATTGTAGAACTTTACCTTTTTTTCCTATTTTAATTTCTCTTCTGACATTTGGCCCCATGATCTAGTGCTTGTTGGGAAATTTGGAATTCTGATTCTTAATTAATATGTTTTATGCCTCTCTTCTTTCTATCCCCTGAAAATATGCTTTGCATGCCATCTTCCATCCAAGTTCAACAAAAGCATTGGACAGTGCATAGCCATCGACGGATTCTTAGAGTTAATATTCATTAGACTCTTATGTTATTTGGTTTACCAGTGAAACACATTAACAATATTTCATTATAAGAGTTCACAAAAGGTTGTTTGGAGTTCCACTACCACAAAACAATTTTCAGAATAATTGGCCAACTGGAAAAAGTACAAATATTCTAATATTGGTTCCAGCGTTCCGTGCTCTTCACAATGTGTTCCAATGCTACCTTTCCAAACTCACCTTTAACTTCTCATTTTCATGTACCAAACTCTTTACACATACACAGTCTAAGACAGTTCCTTTTACATTAGTTACTTAACAAATATCTGTTGCAATAGTGTATGACACTGTATTTTTCTCTGCCTCTCTCTCTCTCTCTCTCTCTCTCTCTCTCTCTCTCTCTCTCTCACACACACACACACACACACACACACACACAGAGAGCAATCCTGCAATAGGCTCAAGTATTGTGTTTCCAGATATTTTTGTTAGAATCTGACATCCATTTACAAACTTTTTGAGGGCAGAAACCACATATTCTACTATTTCCCCTTCTCCAGTCCTTTAGTAGTGTAGAGTTGTGCACAAAGAATATGTTCAATAAATACTTGCTGATTTTTACACAATTACATCAAGCCCTAGCATTCATAGGCTTCAGGGGTCAGGGAAAAGAAAAATTAAGGGACAGTTTTCCTTCTGAGAAGCTTCTTCAGGGCCCCTTTCATGTCCTGGTTCCTTAAACTATAGATGAAGGGGTTGAACATGGGAGTCACAACAGCATACATCACAGTGGCCACTGAGTCTTTCACAGAATACGTTTTCACAGGTTGCAAATACACCCCAAATAGGGTACCATAAAACAGGGAGACCACAGCCAGGTGTGAGGCACAGGTAGAGAATGCTTTGTATTTCCCAGTGACTGAGGGGATCTTCAGAATGGCCTTGACAATTTGACCATAGGAAATGAGCATAAGCAGAAAGGGAACAATGAAGAGGAGAGAGCCTGTTGTGAGTAGCACTGCCTGGTTGACTCGGGTGTCAGAGCAGGCCAATTGTAGCAGGACATACATCTCACAGAAGATGTGACTGATCTCCCTCGACCCACAGAATGTCAAGGTGGCCATGAGGATTGTGTGGGTCAGTCCATAAAGAATGGAGAGGACCCAGCATGGGACCAGCAACAGAAGGCACAGTCTGGAGCTCATGATTGTGGTATAGTGAAGGGGACGGCAGATGGCTACAAAACGGTCGTAAGCCATCACTGCCAGGAGGAGATTGTCCAGAGCCACCAAAGAAACTAAAAAATACAACTGTATCAAGCACCCAGTAGGAGATGGCCTTTTTCTGGGTAAATAAATTTACCAGCATCTTGGGAACTGTATTAGACACAAAACAGACATCAGTGAAGGAGAGGTTGGCCAAGAAGAAGTACATGGGAGTATGGAGGCGGACATCAGAGACAATGGCCAGGACAATCAGCAGGTTCCCAGCCAGAGTGACTAGGTACATAGCCAGGAATAGTCCAAAGAGAAATCTCTGGTGCTCTGGATCCTGAGTGAGGCCTAGGAGGAGGAACTCAGAAACACTTGTCTGATTTTGAAAGCCCATGTCTCTGTGTGAATGCAACAATGACAAGCATTTAAGTAGCAACTATTGGGTACTAGGTTCCTACACATTAAAATATTTGATTTATGAATAAGTGATCAATAATTATTTGTTAAATGAATGAATGCAAGTTTAAATGAATACATTTTGAAAATTAGGAATAAATAAATGTATAAATTATTCAATTTAATTCAGGAAAAATTAACTTTACATTCTAAACATTTAAAATATGAAGAAAAAACCAAAAGAGTCATTACCCTCAAAGAGTTTAATGAATTGTGAATGAATTCTGATTGCATGTATGTACATAAAGACAACAGGAATAGGGTGCTAGAGTTAGAATGAAGAAATCTTGGAATCAATGCTCACCACTGAGATTTGCTAGTTATGAGACCATGGAAAAAGCCTTCAAATGTTCTGCAGTCAGCTCTCTAAGATTGCTGCAAATTGTAGTTGGTGAAGACTATTGACATATTTGAATTCACTTAGGCTACTCACTTTGAGAGAAATACTGGTTGAAGTGTTGCATTTAATTTCAGATGTGGCCACTTTCACAGCTGTTTTTACTTAGATGATTTTCTCTGTTACAAGAGGTTATTCATTTTCAGAATGAGGTAGTTTTAAGGTATATTGAGAAATGACTGTGAAAGTTAAACAAACATGACATCAACACAACTTATGTTATAAAATTTTGACAGGAAGAAGCACTGATAAGGCTTGGTGACAAACTAGATAGTGGGAAGAAGTCAAGAAGAGGAGAAACCAGACAACTTGATGGTGCTGAGCCTAGGAGCCTGGGAAATGGGATTGCTGTGAAGGAGAGACTGAGGTCAGTGGTGAGTCTGATTCTGTGCAGTTTCAGTTTCAAGTACACATAACAGAACTCCAAGGAGAGGTACTGTGTAGGTGTTAGAGGATACAGAAGTAAGGTGAGGAAGAGTCAGTGTGGCATAGTAGAAAAGAGCAGTGAACTTGGACCTAGAAGGTGGGTTGAAATCCAAGCTCTGACAGTCACTAACAGTGTAACTGCACACAGGCTACTTGATTATTCTGAAACTCATTTTCTTCATCTGAAAAATAATAATACATGTACTAATCGATCTCCCAGGCATAATAAACTTGTAAACTTTTAAGTACTATGTAATACGCCTGTTACTATTGATAAGAGACATAGAACTGAAGCATAGACAGTGTGGCATGAAAATATTTTAGTGTCTGGGTGAAGCTTAAGGAAAACCTGTCAAAATGCAATAAAATAATAATGACATATGTTGTCAAGGGAGTTTTCCCTCTGAACAGATGCCTCACATCCCCTTTGTGCCCCAGTTCCTTAGACTGTAAGGAATAGTGGTCAGATAGACTTTATGGGTCTGGGAGTATTTTAGGAGATGAACAAAGTATTTGTGTTGATCCTGAAATGGCACTATACTTCACGCTCTCAAACCCTGGTGGAGAGAATCCAGAGACATGAAAAAAGAAGACATTCAAATAGGTGGCCATATTTGATAGCCCAGGTTTTGGTGTGGATATTCAACAACTTCTACAGTGGCTACAGCTCTGGGTCTGGAGTCAGGAGGACCTGAGTTCAAATCTAACCTCAGATGCCTATTAGCAAGTCACTTAAACTCTTTGCCTTAATTCAGAGGAGAAGGAAATAATAAACCACTCCAGTATCTTTGCCAAGAAAACTGTCTATGGGGTCATGAATAATCAGACACTGCTGAATGTCTGAAAAACAATAAGAACAATAACAACAGGAGCTGGCTGTTGGGTCAAGTTGAACCATTGCAGGAGATGCTAGGGAAAATAGCCCCATTCTGCTGGAAGGTCGGGAGGAGGTAAGTCATGGCTAATGGCTCTACTGGGCTTGAGATAGTGCCATATCCCTTACTTGACCTCAGGAGCTAAATATGGAGAAGATGGGTAATAAATTTTAAAACATCCAGATGCCTCTAATCGATTACTTTCATGCCCTTTTGATTCTTTGAAATAATGTGAATTATTTGTGAATTTACTTTTTCCCTAGTAAATTAACCTGGAAATAGCTGCACGTGAACTTGAGTATGTTAGAAGTGGGAGGAATGAAAGAGCTGGATATGTGGAGCTATCCATACCTCACAGTCAGGCTAAAAGAAGACCATGTAGGAGATGGGACAAGGGGACAGGCAATCAGAGTTAAAGCATACTTCTGCACATGAACTACACCAGGGTATAAAGTAATGGTTTAGGAAGGAGATTCTAACCTCAGGCCAAGAGAGTGCTCTACATACCCAAGCTATAGATAGCAGCAGAGTCTCACCTTAGCTCTCTCCTATGTGTCCATTCAATTACCTTATTCACAGATTCTGCAGGTTTGAATGTCTGTACTTCCATGGACTGGAACCCAAGGTTCATCTCTTCTCAGGCCCTAGCACAGTTTCATGAATATAGCAAGTAACTGTATGTGTTTTTTCAACTGAATTGTATAATAATGGTTATTACATATTATCATTATACCAGTAATTTCTTTGTGTTTTTGGAGTATAATAAAAACTAATATTTTATATAACACTGTTATTTAAGTTGTTTTGCATCATTTATTTCATTTGTTCTTCATAGTAACTCTCTGAAGTAGGTAGTCCAATTGCATTATTAGCTTTATTTTATAGATGAACTGTAACAGAATCTCGGAGTATTAAAGTGACATGCCCATGATCTTGCAATACATCATAGAACAACAGGCCTTTGGACCCAAATTATCCATGCCAGGTTTCAGTCCTTTCTTCTATACCATGCCACATCTCATATAACTCCCTAAGTTGCATCACATACCAAAGCTGCCTGACTTTGCTTGAATAGATTGGCTCCAGGTGGGTGACCCCATTCCTCTCACGTAAGCTTTCAGGATCCCAAGAAAGTGGGAAGTGGAGGGAGAATCTATAAAGAAATATCTCATGCTTAGATGATCCATTATAAACTGTTTCCTTAGACCAGGCTCAGCCTGGGTTTAGAGGGAAGATGGATAAAGGGAGCTATATGTGTATGTACATGCATCTTTGTGTTATGTGTGTATGTCTGAGTATGCCTACATGTGTGTGAGCATTCATGAATGTCTGTATAGATCTGTCTTTATGTATGTGTCCTGGTGTCTGTGTATTAATCTGAAAGGAACTCTTCCATTTCTATTAGCCTAACTCTTACCTAGATGGCTTGTGGTGACCTCAGAAGCTGTCATACAAGGCCATGACTCTGCTGTCTTCTCTCCAGATGATGAGACATGCACAGTAACATAGTACACACGAACAGAGGAATTTTCTCTTCCTGCAGTAGAAGTGATGCCTGAGGTTGGGGGACCCCAGTGCTGGGCTAGGGGAATAATTACCAGGTATCATGTCTCTAAAGCCAGAGGGGCCTGAACCAGGATAGTGTGAAGCATATATATAGATGAGCTTTGGGCATCCCCTGGGAGACAATTCCTGAAGCTCCTCATTGGAGATCAACAGAGATAGTTATTTCATCATGGTTCTACCATCTGAGTGTTCTATGGGGAGAAATTTTAGGAAACAAGCCTCATAGGATGGAAACATGCTCACCCAAACTCCATTCCATCCTGAGATCTGGGGCCAGCTACACTAGGGAATGTTTTAGCCCTATCCCTCTCCCTCTTATCCTTTGGGAACCATGTCCCTATGATATTTCTTTCTTGAAGCCCTTCATAATTCCCCTTGCTAGGAGTAAATTAATAATACATATGTTGATCTCACTTTTCTTCAGAGCCCTCATGTATGGTATATTTAGTCACAGAGACATCAGATTGTAAAAACTGAAAGGAACCTGAGACATCATTTGATTCAACCCTAAATTTTACATCTGGGGCATCAAAAAATAGGACTTTAGTAGAGAAATACACATATTCACATAAATATAGTAGAAAATGATAAATGCAAAAGACAGACACGTTTCCATTGAAGCTTGGAAAAGACAGGTCACTTTCTACCATAGTGACCAAGACAGTTTTCCTGGAGGAGGTAGCATTTCAACTGGACCTTGAAAGTTCTGTAGGATTTCAACTGGTGGGTAGCAAAGGGGATGATGGGAAATGGCATTTCAAGTGTAGGGAAAGACATTAGCAAAGATACAGTGGGGGGAAAGTATGGAAGATGTTTGGAAAACAGAATATTCAAGTTTGACTAGAAGGGAATAAATGTATATTTATTTATAAAATAAATAAAATTTAATAAAATAAAGTTTAAATTTAAAAAGGCAATAGTGAGAGATAAACCAAATAAGTTGGAATGAGACAAGATCGGTATGATACATTCAAATGTAGATTGGTCCACCATGTAGATCCTTATAGTTTTGTTAAACACTTTGCTTTACACCTTCTTCCTTCTAATGTTTTGATCTATGTGTATATTCAGGCCTGTACATGTGTTTACAATGCATGTATATATGGGAGGCACATAAACATGATTTTTGGACTGCTTAACAGACAATGTTCCCCTTCCCAAATGAGTGAGTTGTTTTCTAGATCTGTCACCATACTGAGTCTCTCATTGGGAACAACTCTGTCAGTTTTGGAAGAAACCTATGCTCCAAGAAGTTTTAGAATCTCCACTGTAGCCCCATCTCCATTATTACCATATAATTACTCAATGCAATCCAAGTCATCCAGTTAGTACTATCAATCTATGAATATATCTGAACCAATAGGATTGTGGGAAAATGCACAAACCCTGATCATGTTAAAACTGGTTTCCTACTAAGAAGCCCTCAAGTTGATATCATATGAGGATTAGGTAAAGGAGATGGGTATGTACAATAAAAAGAAGAGAAGAGAACAAGAGGTCATACACATACTGGTTTCCCTGACTTCCTTTAAAACAGTTGAAATCTCACCTTTCCCAGGATGCCATTCCTGATTTTCCCCCTACCCTCCATCTTTCAAAGCTAGTCCCTTCCTTCTGAGATTGCCTTCTGTCTACTGTGTATATATTTTGTATGTATATAGTTGTTTGCATGTT